CGAACGGTTTCGACACAGGTGATGACGCAACTCCTGTTGGCGAGATATCCTTGAAAGGAGACAGCGAGCTGTCAGCAAAATTCAAAGGTAACCTTTGGCAAGGAATAGAATGCGATTACCTGTTTTGGATCAGAAGATAATGGTGTGGTTTTTGATAGTTCCGTAGCTGAAACAACACCAGAAGTGGTGGAAGAAGTCAGGAGTGGTTTGGTGGGTTGTATTGGTGCAGTTGCCATAGTTATTGTCGAAGCGGCTTTTGGTAGGTCAACAGAAGAGGTTAGAGTCGCAGTCAAGGCACCAGGCGTGTTATTGCCAGCAGGAAAAAGACAAGTCGCCACAGAGGGAACGCGAAAGTCCACAGAGGCCACTGAATTGGTAGTGCAAAAAAGACAGCCCAATGCTCTAGTTAACAACACCATCACTAGTGGTAAGAACGCACAAGTGTCAGTGGTCTCGCAATCAAAAGTTGTGAAAAAGTTTAGTGGGTTCTAGATTTGTTGATATCCATAGTTAAACAGAGTTTAATCGCTATAGACTTCCAAAAAAACCATTGATGCAACGTTTTATACACAAAATCGACTAAGTAAAGCTGCGTTATAATACAATCAACTGTCATTCATCCTGCAATCAGAAAGTAGATCCAGTTTTTCGAATAAAGCATTTATCGTGTTTAATGAAATTGTGGTAAATTGAACAGGAACACTAGCAAAGCTAAATCAATGTTTTGATAGATCAAAATAAAGTTTGAATGAGTATCGACTAAATAGTATGATAATTCGGCACTTCTCACCAAGTTGCTTCTGGGTAGATGATAATTTTAACGCCGGTTGGCGCGAGAGTACATGCTACAACATGTCATTCAGCTAGTTTTAGCGTTCCGACAGACTAAAAGCTATAGATCTAGATGAAACCGCCAGAATTACAACTACTATCCAAATTTGGCGCGCCATTACCATTCTGGTCTCACAGTCAGTCCTAACTTACGAAAAGGCTAGAGCCTGGTGAATGACTTATAAGGTGGAATTTCCCCATCCGAAGCCTACTCCTACTTCTGGACCATTAAGAGTTCGCCCCGATTCAATCCATTAATTTTGAAACTCAACCCATTGTAGGAAAAAACCAACCTTGAGGCGGTATTGTTGGTGGAGGATAAGAAGGAGGAAGCAAAAAGCACGACCCTCCCGTTGTCCGTGGCATTGGCTGCTGTTGTTGCTGAAGGGCTGCAAGTTGAGAAAGCGCCAAATGAGCCTTTTGCTGTTGGTCCAACGAGAAAATGTCACCGGGCCGAAGCATGGCGGATGGTTGCGCTGGTGGTATATGGGGTGGGTGAGGGAAAGGAGGGGGTGGAGCAAAGGGAGGGACTGCTGTGGGCAGCCATTGACGAAAGTCCCTCAGAATGGAAGTTACTTCGCGTAGAGACTCTTGCAATGCCCGCCAATCCTCCAAAGGGGGTGCAAGCTGGGTCGGTGGAGCAGACTGTAGGACTGGAACTGGAGTGCACTGCTGTCGCTTTTGCTGTTCCCCAATAACTTCATCCAGCTTATTTCGAGTTTCCTTTAATAGACGTGATAACTCCTCGTTCTGCAACCGACTCTTCACCAATTCTGCAGATGTCTCTGACATAATGCGCGAAAACTCCATGAATGACGGCATCCACTGTTCCACGACTTGAGACAGAAGTTTCGTCTAAAAAAAGAGATAAGGTAAGATTCAATAAGATCCATAACCTTTGCGTACTTGCTTTTTGATAACCTTGAAAACAAGAGAAGCCTGAGAGCTTAAAATGTATCCGTACAAAACATTTATTGACCAGAAAACACAAATTTCTGATCTCCTAACATGAGTGCAACACCTGGAGTTCAAATTCCAGAATGTTGAGGCACAAAACATGCTAAACAAAATCGAAAGGTAAAATCACCTGTAAATCGGAAGCCGAAGGGTCAGGAGCAGTAGTAGTAGTGTTCACGGCAGCAGGAGAACTGGTAAGCCCAGGGGACCGAAAAGAACCAAGCACCGAGTTACGGCCTCTATTAGCGTAGGCGCCGTATCCAAAAGGCATGATTTTCGTTTCTGCTGGATCAGTTGGCTTAACGTCACCGGAGCGGGCAAGCTCTGGAGCTACGGACAACGTCATGGAGAACGATAGTAGAGAAAAAACGTCGGATCAGAATTAGAGCAAAAGAAATACATGAGTTTGCGA